CAATTCGATGGTCCTCTACTATAACGACACAATTAAAATTGTAAATTAAACTAAGTAACTAATTTTAAAATTTTAAATTTTTAAAGTTTAGGTTGCACTAAGTCTCCAATGAAATGAAAGAAATAAAAATGTACAAAAGACTGAATTTAAGTATTGTTTTTTTGTTTTTATATAAAGAAAACGTATGGTCGTAACATATTTACAGCATAAGAGATGTGCTTTTTCATTAACGTTAAGAGATATTAAATGTAAAAATATGGAAAATCAAAACTAATAACACAAACTACGTCTTCTTAAAAAATTACAAAAATCTAACGTACAGTTTCGGATTAATTCGACCTTAAACTTTAAAGTAAATTTTCTCAAAACCGTGTATTGTAACATTCGACATCCGTTTTCTGAGACGACGATATGTACCCTCTGCCTACATTAAGTTCATACACTTCACCCTTTTATTTCATACAATCTTGAAGCAGAAATATTTCAAAGTGTATGAAGTAAAGGTGGGCAGGGTGGAATATTTATAAAGTCTTATCATACTGTCATACTTTCAAAGATCGTAAATATAAATTATTTTTAGATTTTTAGATCTCAAAACGATGGTCCCGCTTTTAACTTTAAAATTATTCATGTATTGTTATGATTAAGATATCCCGTGGGTTTTTTCATATAAAGCTTAAAGGATGATTTGTCTTGTAAAATTTGTTCATGTCTTCATGGGATTTTTGAGAGTGATTGGGATTTTTTGGGACTTCTGTTTTTTGTTCCGGCCTTTACAGAATTTGTTGGGAGTTTTTATATTTAATGAACCTTTCAAATCTTAACTTTTCTCTTTATCAGCGCCAGAGAGATAAGAGTCAAGAATTCGTTTGCTTAAGTTCCTTTAAAAAATGTTCAATACACTCATCGTGATAAGTAGTTTTCAATTACTTTTATAAATTCATACTTAAGTACGTACACATAAACATATGTAACGACGCAATGTTTTAACACTGCTGGGGATATCTGGCAGATTCGGTTGGGGGATGTGGGTTAATTGCATTTGGCACACATGGCATTCATACACCCTCCACGCTGCTACCTTTGCCGATGTTGCTTTTGCGTTTTCTATGAATATGCATATCATAAACATGCTGTAGCTTTGTATATTACATGAGTTGGCGATCCGCGACTTTATATGCATACTCAGAATAAAATAATGAGTACGATTTTTTGTAGAACTATTCTGAAATATACCAACATGTACCTACATATGTATGTACAATAAATAGGGTGCCCATCGAAAATGCTTTTTTTTTTGAAAATTCAACACCTTACCCCCTAATTTTAGATGTTTAAGGTTTTTGTGGTGTGCGCATGCAGATGACTTATCACTCGGTGCGTTGGCACTCCCCAACCGGCTGAAATAACAGTAAGTATGCTGTCACATGCTTCTGTGACTTTGTTTTTTCTGCATGTCTACCCCATTTCGCGAAAAGAAAACTGGAGCAGCACAATTGCTTTTTATTATGAGCTTAGACCTCATATTATTTAGAATACATACATATGAACATTTGTAGCTCACTCATAAGTATGTACATTTGAATACGCTGGCATTCCGATGCCGCCTTTCACATGTAAAATAATACTGTGGCTTGTGAAAAATAGTTCAAATAATGGAAGTGCAACTTCATACATACATATACAATACATAGTACTTTTTCTTTGTTGAGCTTTTNAAGAGGTCGCGACCTGTCGATTTACGTCAGAAAATACGATTTTGTATGTGGTAAAAAATTACCAAAAAAAAGCATTTTCGATGGGCACCTTAATGTACATACTTAAGGACGTGGATTTAATTTTGGACGATGTTTAAAGTTTTTTTGGTGTGCGCATGCAGATGACTTATCACTCGGTGCGTTGGCATTCCCCAACCGGCTGAAATAACAGTAAGTATGCTGTCACATGCTTCTGTGACTTTGTTTTTTCTGCATGTCTACCCCATTTCGCCAAAAGAAAACTGGAGCAGCACAATTGCTTTTTATTATGAGCTTAGACCTCATATTATTTAGAATACATACATATGTACATTTGTAGCTCACTCATATGTATGTACATTTTTGAATACGCTGGCATTCCGATGCCGCCTTTCACATGTAAAATAATACTGTGGCTTGTGAAAAATAGTTCAAATAATGGAAGTGCAACTTCATACATACATATACAATACATAGTACTTTTTCTTTGTTGAGCTTTTACGGAAATTTATTATGCATAAATACCGTCCAATTAACATTAAAAGTGTGCAGCCATAATGCGTGTACAACAAAGAAACTTAAACACTATCTTTTTATAGATACATACATATGTAGGTATGCACATATATTTATGATCTTCAGTAACTTATTGGTTTGCATGATTATTTACTTATGTGCATTTACATATACATACGTATGTACAAAGGTATGTACGTAAATATAAAAATAAGTATGCATGTATGTATTTGTGTATGTAGTTAAACATTGCTACTTTCAAAGAAGAAAGTACAGCGTTTGTTTAATTTACAAAAGCGGGTAACAACAGATACCAATTAGAAATTATCTCTAATTAAGTTATACTGGTCATGCATATATGTATGTACATATGTATGTACACGCTATTATAGTACTTCAAACACAGTGTTATCTTGCACAAACAAAAGCAGATTTTGTCATTAGCTGATAAGATTAGACAACTCAGAGAGGTCACAGTGGAACGCATGTATTTGTATTGACTATCGACATTCAATAATGCAAATATGATCGCTTTTATTTTCTAATGGAGTACTAATATGTATGTACTTAGTATATATGTAGAGAGACTTAGCTTAAGTTCCGATGGGTGTTAGGGTTGTTGTTGTTGTAGCCGCTAGTAAACTCCGTTCGAGTCGGCTCATCCATCAACGTTGTCAGTCTGGTTCAGCTAAGGGAAGGCCGAGAAAGTGCGCGACTTCAAAAGGTGCTGTGTGGGATTTTGGGGTCATGCGAAGAGGTGCCGTGAGTCATGTGGGGACTGTCCGTACGCCGGGCATTGATTGGGCTCATATTAGTTGATTCTGCTCAGGTATGAGTTTAGCCTGCTGTAATAGCCAGGGCAAAATTGGACTATTGCGGTGCGGGTCTCCCGAGGCACACAAAGTTCTGCCTGTTGTTGTTGTTGTTGTAGCAGCATACAAATTCCCCAAAGACATTTTGGGGAGTGTTGCTGGAGTGACAGTCCTTGGCCAGATATAAATCTGGGTCGTTCCGGTTACGTAGACCCGACTGTCGTGGGAACGCAAAGTTCTGCCTCGTCCAGTTAGGTGGTTGCGTGCCCAGAACGGCATTCACAGGTCGAGAGTCTATATAACTCGCGACCGACTCCACGTGAATGCCGTTTAGGGCCTCTCGGTATGCAGTTGGGTTCAGAGGTTGTGTTATGAACCTCTGGACTTCGTACCAGGGATGAAAAATGGAAATTTCAGATTGTACCTAATATCATAAAATGAGACAGATTGTACCTAAAAAAAGTTACATCATTCGTATGTAGTTTTTTAATAATATGTTTAAAAATATGAATACAGAAGGTGGATGTACTTTAAACTTGATTAGCTTTTTTTAACTGAGCTTGTATCTACATCCAGAGTATAGTCTAATGGGAATCGGAGAACTGCGGACTACTGAAAAATATTGACGAAATAGACAAAAAACACACTTTGCGAAGTTTACTTTTTTCCAGCTTTTTATAAAGCAACAGAAAAAGTGTGCTAATTTATCCGATTTCCTTTAGTAGCTGCAGCGATTCTAGAGAAAATAATGAGAATTGCCGTAAGTATATTCGAAAGCAGTTTAAATATATTCCAGAAATCAAATAGCGAATATGAGTCAAATGGCTATTGAATAGATTTGAGGCCCTCAACTACAGAAAATATGAAATATGAATAAATCCTAGACCCAGGAATGTATGGGCGAATAAAATTAATAGAAGAGTTAAAAATGTTATTATATGATGGGAACTTTAGCTTTTATGGTTTCAATGGATTAAAAAATGCATTCAACCAATTGCAAAGGTAAAGCGTTTGTAAATTCAACCCCGTCATTCGACGCAATGACGTTTTATTGAAGAAATTAATTCCAATTTCGAGGACAAAAAATATAACAAGAATTACGAATTTTAGGAAAGCTAAGTAAAGTGTTAATTTTTTGTAGTGGCTGTTCTAAATGCAATGTTAAATGTTTAAGAGTATACATAATATGATTTTGTTAATTTCTTCCTTTTGACCACTTTTCCCATGCCGACAAGTAAATATATTATCACAGTAAAGGAAAAAAAAAAAAAAATACAAATTCATTGATGAAAAGGTGATTGTACCCAAAAACTAGAGATTGTACCTAATGTACCTTTAGGTCAGCAAACGTCGGAAAAAGGTACAATTGTACCTACTTTTTCATCCCTGCTTCGTACGTCAGTTCGTAAAGGCACCTCCTGGCACCCTACCAGAAACTGCTTGTAGAGCATGGTGTTATGCTCTTTAATAGGGATAATCCGATGGTTCTTCCTGCTGGTTAAGAGTTTAAGGCAATATCGATTTGTGCAGAAGGGAAAAACTCAAAGTTAAAATATGTTTATTGCCATTGTTATGAATATCAACAAGTTACTTTGTGCCTTTTCTGACTTCTTTTATAAACGCCAAGGTCAAAGAGGGCAGTTGTATTTCATAAAGAGCTAAAGTGGATTTATTAACCGACTTCAAAAAAGGATCGTATAACTTTGGACCACGTGAACTGTTTCAGTTATTTTCTACCCGAAAAGTGGTATCTCAAGCGTGGTCCCATATTAATGGTAATCCTAAATTGCTATTTGAGCATTTTAAGTCGGTTGTATTTTTTGCTAAAAAATATTTGCTTTAAATACTCTTTACTTAATGTAGCAAATGAGCTTTAACAAAATTTGGTATTTTTCAGTAAAATGGATTCAATCATTTATATATATTTACCCATGAACCAACTACTACAGATCACCCAATCAGCTATCGTTGTATTTGTAATCGAATTTGAGAAAAAAGTTTGCTCGAGCGTTTTTGACGTTTGTCGTTTTGTTTACATATCATTCTGCTTCTATATTTTCGTGGTGATTTTTTTAGCGATTCGACGTGTTTTGTGAACAATTTAATTTTAATTTGATACAAATTTATGAAATAAAATGAAGTGCTTTGTGATTGGGTGCAACAACTCATACGAAAGGGACAAGTCCGTGCGTTTGTTTAGTCTCCCAAGAGACGTAAGTCTGCGTGAAAAGTGGGTAAACTTTTGTGGTCAGAACGTTGGCCAACATGCAAAAATTTGCAGCGACCACTTCCTCCCCGAAGATTTTGTCAACCTTTTAAAGGTTCAAATGGGTAAGTTACCACTTTGTTTAAAAAGATGTCCGAATAACTGGGCTGAATTCAGGACTAGTGAAACACCTCATACTTAAAAAGGGGGCTGTGCCAAGCCTACGCAAAGGCAGCTTCAACAAACTAAACCTCTTGGTGGAAGCTGCAAAGACAATCGAAGCAACTGAGGAGCAGAGAAATGTGGTTGCGCTGGAAAGAGTGCCGTTGGTTGAAGTTGCTGTCGACAACGGAAACCGCTCCAACAAACTCAACTTGTTGCTGGAAGCTGCCAAAAGAATCGAAGCAACTGAGGACCAGGAAAATGCGTTTGTGTCGGAAAGAGCGCCGTTGGTTGAAGTCGACAACAGAGCAAGTCGCAGCACTAAAACGCTATTGGAACGAAAAATGTAAGTAAATATGTACGTACTTTTAAACCTGGCACATATATAATTACTTAAAACGATTATATATTTTTAGAAGCGCTCTTAAACGTGATGCAGAAGAGGCACAAAGGAAGCTGGAGCAAAAAATGTGAGTATATATAAAGCAGTGATATTGATAACGCAAGTAAAATAATTCTTTTGTCCCCAGTCAAGCGATAGACTGTGAAAATGTTCGGCTACAAAACTGCGCTAAAAAGAGGTTGGAGGATAATAGTGCATTGAAGCTGCAACTGTGAGGAGAATGTAGGTAAAATTAGTATACGTTCAATAATTTATTTCCATTTCCGAAGTGAGTCAGTAACACGCGAGAATGTCGTTTTACGGGAGAATGAAAAAAAATTGCAAAAGACCATATCTGCCCTACAAGAGCGCATTCGAGGTGCTGAGTTTGAGCAAAAAAATATGGACGAAAAACTCTCTGCAATATTCACTCCTGGCCAAATAAAAAAAATAAAACGTGGTAGCAAGCGTATCAAGTGGGCCGAAGAAGACATATCACGCTCGATAACCCTCTACTCCACGAGCGCAAAAATGTACAGAGTGTTAAAAAAGAAGGGTTTTCCGTTACCTGCAGTGAGCACGCTGCAATGGTGGGCGAAGAAGCTCGACATAACCACAGGTATCATCGGGCCTGTAATGAAAATTTTGTCGGCTGCATCTCAGCTGGATGTCGTGCAAAAAATATGCGTACTCAGCTTCGACGAAATGAAGATTCGGAAAGCATATTGTTATGATAAATGTTCTGACACTACGTATGCTCCAGTAGATTATGTGCAAGTAGCTATGCTGCGAGGTATATTTTTATTTATGCAACATATTAAAATATTCTTCTAAGTGCCATTTTCTTATGTAGGTTTTAAAATTTACCTGCCCTTAAACACATTTTTTCAGAACAAAACGTGTTGAAATGGCAGATAAATTTTAAAACCTACTTAAGAAAATGGCACTAAAACAAAAATTTTGTATAGGTTTGGTTTCTAAATGTGTATGTGTTAGTAAGATAAATGAGAATGTGTTGGTTTCCATCACACAATTCTTGTAGGGGAGTTGTGACTACAACAACAAAATGTATTCAGTCATTTAATTAATTAAAATTAGTTTTTAATAAAATAAAAATAGTTAAAATGAAATAAACCAAGATTGAACAGAGCATGAAGCTTGCATTTAAAATGAATTTAATGAATAATGAAAATAAAGAGTAAACATTTTAAAATAAAAAACATAATCAACGAAAATTGCGTTATCACTCTTTTTCCAACTCTTATAGGCAAATTTCGGATCAAGGTACATAGTATACAAACATAAAAAATAGTTTAATTTATTTGGCAGATATCAATTAAAGTTAATTAGCTGAGCTGGATGCACGACAGTGGGCTTATGATGACTTCGAATTCTTCGAGATGACATTTCTGGCAGTTTGTTTCTTTCTGCAGCTGGAACGTATCGTGGAGGAGCGATGCGTTTACTTGCGCCCAATAAAGCAATCGTTTCGGCAATCAGATGTGCTAAACGGATTCGATGAAGAATTCCAGAAGGCGAATGATGTGGTAGGCGATGTCGTAGGTGAGACGAGCGTACAGCTATAACAACGGATACATTTGTAAAGCAACGTTCTTGAGAAATGAGGAGGCATCGATGCGAGATAATTAAAAACTGTGGAATCACTCTTTGGTTCCAAACATTGCACTAAAACAGTTTATGTGAGCTCCCTTCCCATTTATCCAGCATATTTAATGTCAATGCATTAGACCGCACAGCTTAAATAATTCGATGCTCATCTGCGAATCCACTATGATGGTAAATGAACATGTCGCCACAGACATATTGAGGTGTAGGTTTGCGTGCCAATTCCTTATTTTGGATCATTGGTGCCAGTGCTGTTAATGCTCGATGAGATGGTGCTAGAGTCGACGGCAATGATTTTTCCGCATTGAAGAATCGAGCTCGCAGCAACAGCCCGAGCTTGCAAACCACTTTCTACCATTAAAACCATGCTTTCTGAACATTTTTTGTTAATTTGCATCCAATTTTACTTGTTACTTATATAATAAATACAAATAATAAGAGTCGACGGCACTGATTTTTCCTCATTGAAAAATCGATCCGTGCTGGTGCTGCGAGCCTTGCGAAACACTTTCTGTCATTAAAACCATACTTTTTGAACACTTTTTGTTAATTTTCATCTAATTTTACTTGGTATATTTTATAATAAATACCAATAATCATCGCACTCAATCACGGCACTTCTTTTGTTTACTTTGTTTGTTTCGTTTGTATGTCTGTTTGACAAATGTCAAAAACGCTCAAAAATGTACTTTTTTCTTGCTTCTCTGATTAGGTGATCTTGTATTTTTGGTTCATGATATTTACCTATGTATAAATAGGTTTGTTCGTCGAAAATCCAGCAAGAATTATCCAACACTCAAAATATCAGAGAGTAAGAAAAAATTGTCTCAAATTCTCTCTCATGTTGAGAAACTTGCAAATTTCTGCACGAACGCAAATTTGCAAGTTTCGCTGCCAGCTGGCGTCCACGGTTGCATTTCAAACATAAAAAATTTTTATAGAATTTTTAAAATTCTTTCGGATGGCCAAAAACAGGATATACATGTATATTTCTTGTTGTTCTGACTTTCTTTGACATACATTTCAATTTCTTCATCGTACTAGCTGTCGGGTTTCTTAAATCGACTCTGGTTGCAATTGCATTCCGATTGCGAATACAATTTTTTTCAGCCGAATTAAGTTCAAATCATTGGAATTAACTAAATTAATTATATCAACAATTATTTACTTCCTTTTTTCATAAAAAAATCGCTCGTGTTTATAAANGATCGTTGAGCGAATATCGTTTCCCACCAAAAACACTCTTAACAATTCCAATGTTTTAACGATGGTAACATAGCAATGATAAGTTTCATGCCCGTTGGCCCGTAGCGACAGTGGTACTGGCGTAGACCAACTGTTGACGGTGGCGCGATCGTTCGCGTTTCCGTTCACTTCTCGCGCAATCAAATGACGTAAATTGGGTTAAATTGCGACAACCTCTCAAAAAGAGCAATCGACGTTCAAATCGCCGTGGTTAACACTATGCGAATCAAAAGACTGTAACTATGAAATAAAAAACTAAAGCAAAAACTGAGTTAAGCAAAATATGGCTAACTCGTTACTATTTTTATATCATCTAAGCGGTAATAGTTCCACCAACAAGCTGCTGACCAACCATTCCAAAAGGTGTGTAGC